CATTTCGGTATTAGGCAGCAAAATACCGAAATGTCGGTATATCGGTATTTTTAAATTGTCAATATCGCCAAACCGGTATCTAAACAAATACCGGTATATCGGATATATCCGGTATATCGATCCAGCCTATGTTCACGAATCGATAACAGAGACTTTCAGATCGACGTTTACGAGAGACAGCAAACAACAAACTTCAAATCGCATTTTCGTGAAGTTCTGCAAGTTTTCGACAGCTAAGTATCTCATTTATGCTTCAATTTTATTGCACAAGTTGCCCTAACTTGGACAGCTAACAGTTGACCTCAAAATACGACGACGTTTGCCGTCAACAAAATGTATATATTTTGTTGACAATATTTAAAAACAGTCCCACTGCTACCAAAAAATAATGCCGTTTTCATGCACCTGAGGATTTAAATTCCGGAAAGATGTATTTTGAGAATGATAGTTCGTGACACTAGGACTAACGTAAGTAACTTTTGACAATATTCCAAATAGATGTAGGTTAGGTATACCTTTAAAATTCCAAGCTTAAAGCGATAAATGCAATAGTATTACAAACGTACAGTAGTGCGGTTTGAACTTAAATTACAAGATGCAACAACAACAACAACAACAACAACAACAACAATAACAACAACAACAACAACAACAACGACAACAACGACAACAACAACAACAACAACAATAACAATTTTACTAATACTCAGAAATTACAAAGAAATTATATTGCAGATGAATTTACAAGAGATGAGTATAGGTCACCTGAAGTAACTATTAAGGAGCTAGACTTGGCAGGTGACTTTGAAATTGTATAACTGGGAAAAAAAGCAGCTAGTTCAACGAGCAATTTACATAATTTCAAAACAAAAAACAATACCAGTTATGATACAACATAATACAATAACAAAAAAAGAAAAACACACTGAGCCAATAATATACATAGTCATAGATACGTACATGCTATAAGTAGATAATTTAAGGATATATGAATTTGATTCTAGTAAAAGGCGATTATCTGATTTTCAAATTCCTTTATTTTCAAGGAAATTTCAGTTAAAGATTTAAGCGATTATGTTGCATAACTTAGGTCCACAAAATCGAATATTAAATAGACCATAATTCGTGCGAATAAGTGGTAAGGAAAAAGTTGTTCTAGACGCAACACGGCCGTACAATACAAATGCATGCGTATATTAAAATATAGATCAAAATTGATTGGGAGATTGCCTTACTGTACTGAAACATAAATATTGCAGTATAGAAATCAACAATGATATGTATATATTATTTGCTACGGATACAATCAAAAATTGCTTGTAAAGTCAAAAATGAAAAATCGAAGACCGTCAATTGATGCGGAATATATTGCTTAGAATAATTATGTCAAATTTCATTCCGATTGGACAAGTAATGATGGAGCCTTAAGCCCGCCGCACACGAGAGCAACTTGCTGAGCTAACCGCCTCGCCTGGCAGCTAACTCAGCTATGTATTTTTACCGCACACGTTGGGAAAACTACTCAACAACAACATAAATGACAAAATCATTTGCATTTTCCTCCATTTTGTTCCAAGTCACATGAAGAAATCATGGTTTGTCATTGGCTAATTGATTCAAGCAGCGCAGCACTTAGCTCACAACATCCGCAGACGCTGAGATTTTTTCCTCGCCAGGCGAAAAATATCAAACACGATAGATATTTTCCTCAAGGCTTCGAGAGGTTAAATCCTCAAAAACTATCCGCACACGAGAGCAACTTGCTGAGCTAATCGCCTCGCGAGGCGGTTAGCTCAGCAAGTTGCTCTCGTGTCAACCTTGTTCCCAGGGTCTTTAGGAAAGACCCTGGTATCGGCTGGTCACGTGCCTCGTCTAAAATTGATTGCCCGAGGGGGGTGTGGTGAAAGTATCAAATTACAAACAGTTAAAAACATAAATTTTGCGAACTATTACCAGTAAGTTCAAAATACTTGCTAATTTTTGTTTATTTTATTTGCTTTGAATTTACAAGAACATTCTTACATTTTTACCAACAGTCAAGTCAAGAAACCAAGCAAATCGTTACTCGCAGTGCTCTCTCGTGTTATTATTATTCAATGGCAATGCTCTCTTCACACTCGAGGGCGGTTTTATAGCAAACGTTTATGGGCTTTTCAGTGGTCACCATTTCTACATATCTAATGTTTTTAAAACAAGCATTAGATTTGTCCTTTTTTGTAAACGTTGCTATGCTTTGCACGTCTTGTTTATAAGATTTTTCAAAGAAACAGTATTGTATTCTCTAGGACTAGAGAGTAGAGCCCAATATCAGCAAATGTAAACATTTGATACTAGCCAAACAGAGAAATGTCTGTCAGTGATTTATCTTTAAAATTTTGGATTTAGTACATAATTCGTATTCATTAATCATAGTGGTTTCTTGGTCAGATAATATTTTCCTAATATGCACACAACTAGGTACCCTGGTTCCAGAGGTTTAAAATAAACCTCTGGTTGAAAGCGGCAATTGTTCATCGAGCCGCGCCAATCAGTTTGAATTAGGGTCAGATCCTGACTCTGTCTCCTGATTGGATGATTGTATTAAAGCTCTCCGATTGGTTATATATGTTTTATTTGAATCAATCAGAGAGCTTTAATACAATCATCCAATCAGGAGACAGAGTCAGGGTCTGACCCTAATTCAAACTGATTGGCGCGGGTCGATGAATCAATTGCCGCTTTCAACCAGAGGTTTATTTTTTCTCTCCCCTTCGCAATGAAAATAATAAAAATAAACCTTTGGAACCAGGGTAACAACTAGGCTATAATCTACATCACAAATTTACAGTGTCAGACGCGCACAGACTGCCATACGAATACACATAAATTTTCGAGTTTTCTACTTCTACTAAGGCTACTAACAGTTTTCATTGTGTCTCAATCATCTCAGTGTTTATTTCTAGTTCAATAAGTTCATTTATATTTCTATTTTTGATTGTAGCATATATAGTGATACATGTAGGCTATTTACACACAACCAATCCTGGATATGATAGAGACGATACAAGCTGTTCATTAAAAAATAACGGTATAATTCTATTTCACAAAGCAAAAAATTTAAATCTCACTTGTATTATTAAGAATATATATAAAGCAGAAAATTAAAGCTTGTGTCAAAACCGATAAAATTTATAAATGTGGTATAAACACAGTAGTAAACAGTAAGTGAGTAAGACAAATATATTGTCGTTTGACTTTATATCTTTGATGTATGACTTTACTGTAATACCGTAGATTTTCAACAGACAGCTAGACTTTGACATATACCATGATCGTTGAGATCTTGCAGGAAATTTTATAGTCTTTTGACGGGATTTAAGTTTTGTGATAAGGCCTTTATAATCAACAATCTCGATACAGTTGGCGTCTTGGTAGCCTGGCTAGCGTCTTGGCGATATTTCGGAAATCAAAAGCTTTTCGCTATTTCGTTCCAATTCCACATCTCATCAATAAATATATTTATTTGGTCCGAGTATCAGGATATACTTTAATACTAACAGTTAAATAAATATAAACCACATTGGTCGGTCTAGATATATGAATTTTCTTGTAGGCTTATTGCCACGCCGCCCAGGCGCTTTCTTTGGCAAGTATACGAGTTGAAATCTGATCCAACTTGCTTGAATTGTAACTCGACACTAGATTATAGAGCAGAAAGTCACATCACGATAAATATTAATTTTTAATTGCAGTTCTCTTCACGATTTCTTGTTGCAAATTTAAATTTCATCACACAGAATTGCAAATATAGTTACAAACGCGACAAACACGCTCCTCTCCCACCCTGCCCATAGTATCATTTTAATTTATCACCCAGAATCTGGGTGACACGTGACCAGCCGAAACCAGGGTCTTTCCTTCGCCTCGCGCCGTTCTAAGAAAGACCCTGGGAACGAGGTTGCTCTCGTGTGCGGCGGGCTTTAGGCTAGGCTTAGCCTTAGGGTTTTTTCAAAGAGCGTCACCCCCTAACAATAGTAGCCTCTTTAATGTCTACTCCCGAGGGAAATAGTTTGGTTTTCCCGAGAGTCGAGGGAAACATTGAGATTCGATGGAAACATTGAGATTCGAGGGAAAACAAAACTAACTATTTCCCGAGGGAACAGACATTAAGCGTTTTGTTACGAACTACGAACAAAAATCAACATAGCTACGAACAAAAATCAACATTCATACAACAATTATATTTCGTGACAAAAACTCGTGTAACCAAGTTTAAAATTAAAAGAACCTACTTAAACGGTTTCAGCGGCATATCTTGTTGCCTGTTGTGTATTCTTCTCTTTTACATTCTTTATTTGAACACAAACTTGGAAAATCGTAGTTTCTAATTATGCTAGTTGTCCCGCCATTTTGTTTATGTATGTAGCCGGTCGGGGCGGGCAACAATTTTTCACAATGCTAATGCTACTATGCCCCTCGACGTTTTTTTTTCTTCTAGTAATATGTTAGATGTTTATAAACACGTAATCATACACAGATGTAAGAATAAAGGCCCCCATTTTTGACTCACCGATATCTGTGAGTCTTTGGTTAGGTTAGGTTAGGTTAGGTTAGGTTAGGTTAGGTTAGGTTAGGCTAGGCTAGGCTAGGTTAGGTTAGGTTAGGTTAGGTGGGAAATGACCAGCATGGTTTGCGCGCACTATTTTCCTGCGAATCGGGCTTTTCAGAACCAGAAATCGGGCTGGGGTACGCGTTCGTTCTTTTGATTTTGCAAAAAAGAGGGTGGGAAAGGGTATTTTCGTGAGCCGTGAATGGTCAATATTTGTTCGCGTGAAATGTGAAATGCTTGATTTCAACCTCGCTTTATTCAAGATTTCAAGTTATTTTAAAAGTGTCATTTTAAAGTCATATTGTAAAGGCTTGCATAGCTATCAAGAGCAGCTGTTATATGATAGTCTCCCTGGCAGACGTTCTTGTGGCTCTAACCCTCGCTAACTAGGCGTCTCCTGAAACGAGCTGCACATTCCATTCCCTCCGATTGACCAATCACAGCGAACCTTCTATATTGTAGTTCGGAAAGTGATTTAGGGGCGGAAGAAATAGTGTTAAATATAAAAAGATTTAAACATTTCCGTGCGTATACGGCACGTATGAAAAACGCGTGACCGGAGAGCAGCCTTTAGCGAGGGTTAGACTAACTATAAAAACGTCTGCGAGGGAGACTACTGTTCTGTTATGATATTGCCTAATGCAGGGCCCTTTTAAAAATTTGTCCGTGAAAGTTTATTCAGAATGACAACGTCGTTTTTGTTTTGCTTGAAGAATTTCTTTGCTTCATCAAAAGCGGTGCCCTGCAGTTCGCGTCGTGTTTCTAAATCAATCTATTATTGGCTTTATTGCTGGCAATTTCACATTTCCACTATCCACTTAACCCGATTACAACTATAGAGATCAGTTATTAAGAAACTTGCCCGCGCTTTCTGTTTCAGCGGTTTACTTTTTTATTGTATTTAAACAGGGTGGACTTTTGTCTACGCATGCGCGAGAAACGTAAGCGTGGAGTGCACGTGAGCGCGGGTTAATCGCGTGACTAAATTATAGAAACAAATATCAAATTTGCCAAAACTGCTCGTGTTATGAAGTCATTTTCTTGTTTGTTTAGTGTTTCTATGCTCACAATTTTAGGCATTTCCAACCTAGAAGTGTTTGCTTTGGAATAAGAACGCGAAAGTAGAAATAAAAACTTTGTTGCAGCAGTTTAATTTCGCAGTGCAAATATACCTGTTTTTAGTATGTATATCCTTTTCGAAGTGAGATATACAAGTGCAAATTGACCTTCTTTAAACTCGTACTTGCCCTATTTTCCACTCCATAAAAACTACTTTTATCCATGGAGAAACTATTTGACTCTAAAAATAAGCTTGAATTTTTGTGATGATATAGGCTTAATTTTTTGCAAACAGTGATTTATTACTCGGAAGTGTAGTCGTTGTTTATGAACAAAAGTCTAAATTGAATTCAACATCCGTGAACAAAAAGGAATCGCGCTTATTACTACTCTGTAGAGGATAGACAATTAATTTAGTTCACTAACAACCCGTTCTACAATATAAACTAGAAATCGGCCAACAAATTGCCACGAAATACTACAATGAAAATAGGGTCTCTGAACTACCAATTCACCGAACGGTCAAGTTTCTCTGCAAAGATCGCCCCTTTGCCCAATTTTCCTCGAGTAGATCATCGTGTTTTTAAGTCAAGGATTATGTATACTTTAACATAAAAGAATAAAAAAAGTGATGATAAAGGGTAGATTTTGAATAAAATACGAATATCTGTATACAAGATCTGAGCGTTATTATGAAGCACTCGATACTTTCTCCAACAACATGTTGCGTTTATTTTTATACAAAATTAAAAATATTCACACATTAAAGATATGAAAATGTAGCTTGCATTAGAAAGGAATGTTGGCTTACTTAAGTTATACCTTGCACGTCGATTAAAGTCAAGTAAAGCCCTTTCAAAGACGCGTGCCATATTAAACTACAGGTCACATGGCGGTAGAGAACTCGACGAAGTATTCGCGATATTTCATAGCG